AGTTAAAGACTTCGGCTCCATGGCAATCGAACTGTGTGAATAGGATCTAAGCGCTATTCGGTAGTTTTGTGCGCTCAGATCCCAGCTATCTGGGGATATGTGACGTGTGTGTTTTATGTATAAAATGTGACTGTATTTTATAATATTTTAATGCTTTGTGCTCACCATGTGCATAATGGAGTCTTGTTTCTGTCCTGGGAGATAATTGAATTACTTCTCAATTCAATCTCCAGGATAGAAGACTCTGAAACTGGTTTGGGCTGGAAAGCCATGCTTCATTTAGTCACAAAGGACTTTCCCTTAACTTTTGAACCTCTGGTCTGATTCGTGCCATTTTTTAATATGTTGTTCCCCTGAATGGATTGATTATGAAAATGTATGTTTTATGTTTGTGACATGTATATTTTAGAAGTTATAAATATTGTGTAAAAACTGTATTCCTCTGCCGGTGATAATGAGATTACCCATTGTGTTCAGTAATCATATCACATGCAGAGGGGAGGATTTTGTGTGGGAGTGTCTGGGTGTATTGTACAGATTGATTGATTGTTTTGTAACGCCCTGTGGGCTGTACTATGTTTGTGGATTGGGAATAAAAGACACTGTATGTGACAGTACAGGGAGTTCCTGTTTTAACCCTCAAAGTGAAGTGTCGTCTCATTATTGGGGGAAGGATTTATTGTATGCTGTTCCAGTTTGACTGCTAGAAGAGTAAACCTATTTGTATGGTTCCTATTCAACTGTCTACAGCATTCATATGCTTGGGAGAATTTATTTGTTTCTCCGGTTCGGTGATTGTGGTGTCTGCCAGAGTGCTTGGAGTCCTCAAGAAGCGCTAGGATCATCCTTTAACGGAGGTACCCAGTCGGGGTGCCAGGCGATCCGTTACAGCCCTAATCACACCTCCCTTGATGGTGACTGACAAAGTTAACATTAAAAATTTCATTTTTTAGTCAGTTGTAACTTATTAAACTTAAAGGGACACTACAGTCACCATAACAACTACAGCTTATTGTTCTGGTGAGCATAATCAGTCCCTTTAGGCTTTTTGCAGTAAACACTGTATTTTCAGAGAAAAAAAAAAACTGTTTACATTACAGACTAGGGATACCTCCACTGGCCATTCCTCAGATGGCTACTAGAGGTGATTCCTGGGGCAGGAGACACTGAACTATCCTCAGAGATGCATTGATTCAATGCACCTCTATGAGTAGATGCAGATTGGCCAGGGCAATATTTGGCTTGTGCTGGCTCTGCCTCTGATCTGCCTCCTTGACAAGCTTAACCAAGCCAATGCTTTTCTATGGGAAAGCAGTGTGATTGGCTGAGATCACAACTTCTGATGTCAACCAAGGAGGCAGATCAGGGGCAATGTCAGCAGAAGTAGACTGGAATTAAAGTAAGATTTTACTATATTTAAGAGGTCATGTGGGTCTGGGGGCTAGATGGTGTTTTTCCACAGTATAGGGTCTGGGATACAGGTTTGTGTTCCTAACCCTATAGTCTTCTTTTAACTTTAAATACATACAGGAGGCTCCTGCATGGTCTAGAAAGCTATTAGCAATACAGGAGATAAAGTATAAATGAACAGAATTTGCAATAAAGGAAACGTAAACATTACATGATCGTTTTTAGGAAGGATTTAGGAAGGCTGTGTAAGTCACATGCAAGGAGGTGTGACTATGGCTGCATAAACAAACTGGTGTATATCCTAAATGGCAGCGAATTGAGCAGTGAGACTCTGCAGAGGCATGATCTATACAGCAAAACTGCTTCATTCAGCTAAAGTTATTTTGGTGATTATAGTGTTCCTGTAACTACTGGCCTACTAAATCGCATTTTTGCATTCGAGCATAGCACAAGGGAGAACCTATTCAAAAAGATGTATGTAGTAGGTCTCTAGATTTTATCACCTCTTTACTTTCACTTTTGTCACAGGACACAATGATAATCTAACTTAAAGAAACACTGTAGCGTTAAAAAAAAAAAAATTAAAAAAAAAAAAAAAAACTGTAGTGTCAGGAATACAAAGTTGTTTACATGGCACTATAGCTCCCTATAGTGCCACCGGGACATGCCTCTGCGCCTCCCAGGCCGCCAAGAGACAGCAGGGGAGACCTACTGTGCATGTGCAGTGATGGTCACGCTCGCATTAGGGCTTCACCTATAGGAAAGCATTGTAAAATTGGGTTTTGGGTGATGCTGGATGTCCTCATGCATAGCTTGAGGATGCCCAGCGTGTTAGGCATCAGTTAAGTCGCCTAAAAATCTGTAATTTCCTCTTGTGGTGGTCTGGTAATCTGCAATAATACACAATAATAAAAACTGCAATAATTACCTTTGCAGGGTTAAGTGACCTGGAACACTGCACAAAGACCACTTCAATGAGCTAAAGTGGTCTGGGTGCCTATAGTGTCCCTTTAAGAATGTAAAGGTATTCATACCACTATAGTGTTAAACTATTCTGGGGTCTGCAGCCCCAATACATAAAACACTACCCTAAAATGATCTTTGCACTACCTGCCCCTTCTCTTTGGCGGAAAACCTCAATCTTGATGATCTCAGCCAATCCAATGCTTCCCCATAGGGACGGCAAATCCATCCCATAGGGAAGCATTAAAGGGACACTGTTGGCACCCAGACCACTTCAGCCAATTGAAGTGATCTGGGTGCCAACTCCCATCACCCTTAACAATGCAAGTGTTTTTATTGCAGTTTTTATTGCAATAAATTACCTTGCTGAGTTAAGTCCTCCTCTAATGGCTGTCTTCAATTAATTTCAAAGAAGTTCCAACACAACCAACTAGAGCCTTTCACAGAGTCTATTTTCATGGAAAGCTGAAAAGTGACACAGCTGTTTTTAAAGGACCCCTATAGTGCCCTGAGGGTGCCCCCACCCGGCTCTGGAAGGGGGAAAGGGGTAAAAACTTACTTTTTGCAACGCTGGGCGGGGAGCTCTCTTCCTCCGATCCTCCTCTTCTCCTCCCATGCGGCTGAATGCACACGCGCGGGAGGAATGATTAACCCACAGTGAGAAGCACGCAAGCGCCTCTAGCGGCTGTCAATGAGACAGCCGCTAGAGGAATGATTAACCCATTCATAAACATAGCAGTTTCAATGTTTATAAAAGAATGAGTTAAGCCTAGCTGGACCTGGCACCCAGACCACTTCATTAAGCTGAAGTGGTCTGGGTGCCTAGAGTGGTCCTTTAAAGGTAAATATCATTTCTCTGGAAAGCACTGAAAATCACCTATTACTTCTGTTAACCTTTTAGCTCACATGATGTTCACCTAAAGCGGCACTGTCACTGTCTGGGGACTTTGGAAAATTCGCAAAGACCATCAACTGTAACATTTCCGCTGGGGATCCGATGGCTGGGGGGGGCAGGTAAAGGTGAGACCTGTCAGGATTGTCTCTGTAGATCCGCCCAGAGTCTAAGAAAGTCAGGCGGAGAACATACACAGAGACACTGTGATGGAGAGTTAAAGGACTACTCTAGGCACCCAGACCACTTCAGCTTAATGAAGTGGTCTGAGTGCCTGGTCCAGCTAGGGTTAACCCATTTTTTTTTTTTTATAAACATAGCAGTTTCAGAGAAACTGCTATGTTTATAAATAGGTTAATCCAGACTCTAAAGCCTTTACTGGTCACTGAGAGCCGCTAGAGGCGTTTGCGTGCTTCTCAAAGACGCAAGCGTCCATAGCAAATCATTATGAATGCTTTCCTATGAGACTGGCTGAATGCGTGCGCAGCTCCTGCCGCGCATGCGCATTCAGCCGAAGATGGGGAGAAGAGGAGGAGAGCTCCCCGCCCGGCGCTGGAGATTTTAACCCCTTTCTTTCCCCAGAGCCCGGCGGGAGGGGGTCTCTGAGGGTGGGGGCACCCTCAGGGCACTATAGTGCCAGGAAAACGAGTATGTTTTGCTGGCACTATAATGGTCCTTTAACCCTCCAATGCAATTATTGCAGTTTTTCAGACACTGCAATAATTACCATATCAGGGTTAAAGGACCACAATAGGCACCCAGACCACGTCAGCTTAGTCCAGCTAGGGTTAACCCTTTTTTCTTTAAACATAGCAGTTTCAGAGAAACTGCTATGTTTATGTTAAGGTTAATCCAGCCTCTAGTTGCGGTCTCTTGACAGCCGCTAGAGGCGCTTGCGTGCTTCTCACTGTGATTTTCACACAGTGAGAAGACGCCAGCGTCCATAGGAAAACATTGTAAATGCTTCCCTATGAGATTGGCTGAATGTGCGCGCAGGTCTTGCCGCGCATGCGCATTCAGCCGAGGAGGAGTTGAGCTCCCCGCCCGGCGCTGAAGAAAGAGGTAAGTTTAACCCCTTCCTCTCCATCCAGCCCGGCGGGAGGGGGACCCTGAGGGTGGGGGAACCCTCAGAGCACTATAGTGGTCCTTTAACGGGCCTGGGATATTGAAACATATTGAAACAAAGTATTTCTGAAGTGCTATTGTGTGTGTGTGTGTGGAGTGTAGCCTGCCACTGTATTTGAGGGATAAACAATGCAATCTTTCTAGTGTTTTGTATTCCACCCCACATGCAATGTTCCCTAGATTAACTGCACACAAACCTGCTATACTCCCACTTAATTTCACTCTTAGAACCTTCCACTGTTCTTGGGGAGCATCTGCACTAAAATTGAATGAAATATGTTCTTATACTTTTGTCTGCAAATCATTTATCCTCCAATCCATTACACAGCAACACCTAACTTTTGAAATCTGCAATTGCAAAATACCCAAATATTTATTTGTGATTTGCCTAATGGTGTTGTCTCTATGACACGCAGGGTTATGATCTAAAATTAGAAATTAAAGACAATTTGAAATATAAAGCAAAACTAGCAGAAATGGAAACAGTCAGCTACTTTGGAGTTAGATTTGAGATTCACTTTAAATTCTTAATAAATGACGCTGCAAGAGCATAACAATCGATTATTCGTGTGCATCATTCCTTTTAGTAGGTTCCCAGCAAGTTTTTTTTTTTTTTTTTCCCCACTTGCTTCAAGTTACTCCTAAGTATAATTAAATGTACTTTCTAGTTAAACTATCCCAAGGCATTACGAACAGTAATATGGTGTTTGTAAAAAGTGAGAGGCTGCATTCAGACTAAAATACGCTACAAACTACCACTGTATTAATACAGGTAATATAATATGCTAAAAGAAGAAACGACTTAGATTTGCATTGGCAATAACTGGAAAGAGCAATGACAAACCAAACCAATAATAGTAACGGCAAAGCTACGTTAATTCAGAAATCTCACCTTTGTCCTGCCATTAATCTTGAAGTTCCCTAGTTTGCCATTGCAATGCCTTATCAAATCATCCATGCTGTTCATCAAATCCCTGATAGCTTTGCAGCCTGCCTCTTTTCCCTCCACCCAAGTGATTTGGTCACCCCGGATATCACGGGTCGAGTCGCTCTTCTGATTGACAAGCTGGCCATCTGTAAACCGTCCAGTTTTGTGCAACGCTTTGACTTCATTGACAATCCTCTCCCCTAAATCCTGGCCCAGAAAATCATCCAGCACGCAGATTCCATGCTTGTTCATGCAGGGAATTATGTATTCCTGGGCTAGTTTCTGCAACAGGGGCTTAATCTGGCCATTTACTTTCCCCTTGCAGTCCGCTCTCCTCGCTGTGCTACTCCCACCAGCCTCCCCAGATGTCTGGGTGTAATCCTCCTCATTGATGGCCCTAAGTGTGGCTCCTCCGACCACAAGCTCCCTCTGTTTCGATTCCCCGGAACCCAGGGTATTAGCAGAGCTCTCTTCGGGTGGGCCACTTGCTAAAGTTTTAGGCTCCGAAGTTTCCCCCGAGGACACGGATAATCCACCGTCTGAGGAAACAGTCTCTGCAGAGGAAGAAGTCTGGAGCGGTTTCGATGGGTTAGTGTCAATAATCGTGCGCGGCTTATTTCCTTTGCAGACTACCTTGTGATTCTTCCAGTCCTGTCGCTGGTGTTCTTTGCTACAGTAGAAAGAGTTCCGGCAACGACCGCACAACAATAAATTCTCCATTTTCCCGCACAGTTCACAAAACTGCCGGTCGCACTCACTACGACTAACTCCTTCACAAGCCATGATGTCTGCCTGCTTCGTGTTCCAGAGAGCTGCGAGCTTGTCCGCTGATACGTGGGGTGGGGATAGTGTTGGATCCTCGTCTTTCACCTAGTAGACGAGAGTGCGTCACTTCAGTGCGGGCAGACCGATCCTGGCCAAAAAAAGATGAACGTGAGTGTATCTTATCTGTCAAACTCTCGGGCGACAAGTAACAACTTTGCCAAAGGTGGATTTAACCCGCAGAAACTTCACCTGGTGCCCAAACGTTATTGGCGAGTTGAGCCGTAATTTGTGTCAACAATATTTAGTCAAAAGCAGTATCTTTTCACTAGGCCAAGATTATCCATTAGACCCGCACTTGCTTATTCTATTTAGAATGCACGTTGAAAATGACTCGCGTTTGTGGGGGGTGTGCACTGGTGATTCGTGTGATTGTGTCATTTGACCAGAGTTGGAGCTCTCGCATTCTGGGAATTGTAGTTTGTTTTTGCGCATAAATACGCACGATAACGTTTTTATTTTAAAGAGATGACCCAGAAATCCAACAAATATGCTTATTTGACAGATGTACAACCATGGCCACCATCAAGGCTTGACAATTGTCACGGCCCAGCAGCCTGCAGCAGGGCTTCCGTTGGGGGGGCGGGCGGCCAGTGTTCGCTCAAATTTCCCTACCCGTGAAAATCCAACACCGGCAGCTTTCATGCACATAGACTCAGTCAGGGAGATCTTTTCGTAGCCCTCCTCGAGTCTTTGCAGTTTACACAGCAGAAGGCACTCAACCTTCCCCTCCGCGGCTAGCACGGTTTTATGTTAAATTCAGCAGCCGTCGTATCGTGTGCCTCAGGCTCCGCCCCCGCTCTCTCTCAACATAGGATGCTCTCTACCTCCCTGCTCGAGTCCTAAATCTGCATCCACCCGCCCACACTTTTTCAGACTCCTCCTGCCGACATAACTCCAGCCCTGTAGCACAACTCTGACCCTCCTACTACTACCTCCTCCTCCTTCCAAATCAAATCCGTCCACACAGTTCGAGTTCTCTATCTGCAGTCTGCAACCATCCAGGTTTCCACCTCCCAAGGGCCGATCCTATGGTCACAGGAGCCCGGGTGCAGACATTTTTTTGCGCTCCAGGTGGGTGTGGTCATATTTCTAACCACTCCCCATTGTAACTACTCTATCTAGACTAGGGGTAGTTAACTTTTTTTCTACCTACTGCCCACTAATGCATCTTGATGGGAACATTTCCTTACCGCCCACCAGTTTTTGGGCAAGAGCAGAATTTTTTTTAGAAAGGAGGGTGTTTAAAAAAAAAAAAAAAAAAATGTACATTTATCTTTTTATTTCTAATTTATGCATGTTTATACTGTTTTTAACTTTATAAAGTTTAATGAGAAAAAGTAAATTGAAATTTCCTTTAAACCATTATGGAGAGGGATGTGCTATGCCGTCCTTAGGGACCTGACTCTAAACGCTAGGGGGGCAACATAGCATGTCCCCGCCGTCCTATGTACTTACCCGGTCACCGGCGATTGCAATATGGGGACTTACCTGGGAGCCCAGGGAGTCCCCCTCCGTCCTCTTCGGCCCCCCTGGGCCATGTGATCGCAGGGCCTTGTGAGGACCTCGCGATCACATGGACGGCATAGCCAGCAGGGGGAGTGCCTGTTACTCCCCCTGCTGTCTGTAAAAAAAAAAAAAAAAAGTTAAAAACAGTGTAAAATTATATATACTTGGATCATATATAATATTTTGTTCTACGTGTATTTTGAAATATATATTAGGAAATAGTGCACTATAAAACCAACAGGTATATAGCAATAGTGCAAAGTGCATAGCGCTAAATAGAATTAACACTTACCCCTAAGGGGGTATATATATATATATATATATATATATATATATATATAAAAAAATACACAAAAGGAAAATATGATAGCACTCTCAGGTCTATAAAGATATAAAACTTAACTTTTAATTAGCTTATGCAGAAAAAAAAATCAACGTTTCAGTCTGCTTAATCGCAGACTTTCATCAGGATCAAATACATACACATACAGATATTCAATATATAGTAAAATATAAATTAGTAATTAACTTACCCACCACCACATAGATAGTCTCCCTGTCAGCTCGGTCTGGAGTCCACGTGGGTTCAGCCGGCATCCGGACGCACGTTCGTGACGTCATCACGAGGTGCCGGCGTCATGACGTCATCACGTGATCAACCAGCCGGCGGCATCATGGGGAGTATGTTGCTAGGGAGAATAGCTTCCTAGCAACACATAAAAACAAACACAATACAGCTGGGGATACATGTTAACCACTACTTAACAATTTAAACAGAAAAGGAAAAAGGGATAATTAAAAAGACCTGTTCAAAGAAACACTTAAATAATCTTCTAAAGAGTGTATAACCAGCAAATCAAAAAAAAGAAGAATCATATCTAATGGCAGATGTGAAAAGTATCAATTATACTGTAAAAATACAGAAACTACTCACCAATAATAGTATAAATATGATGTAAACACCAAATCAAAAAAAGGGCTATATCCTACCAAATGCAGAGGACATGATGTATAGGAAGATCATTATAACCATCCCTAAATACACTACCTAAACAGCCAGTATCAGGCCCCTACTCTAGAATATCAATATTTACAAAAGGTCGTAATAATGGATGATAAGCCACTGCCAACGAAGCTCTACATAGAATACCATGCCTAGTGACGCTGTCCTATCCGTCCTAAACTAAAAATAAATGAGGTCTATATACAAACATAACTGGTACTGGTACAGCCAAAAAACCAAAAATAAACAAAAAATAAAAAACAAAAAATGAAAAATAAACTGGACACTGGTTAAAGAGGCTGACCCCCCGGGCGGGCCACTTAAACCGTATTCCAGAGTAAATCAAACACAATTATAAAAAGGCAGATAAAGAATATTTTTCATTGAGTCCATTGGGATGAACGGTTTGAAGCGTTCTAATCCAAAATAATTCACGTTGAAGCAGCATCTTTTTACGATCTCCTCCCCTTCTCGGCAAGGGAATTTGGTCGATAGCCATCAACTTCATAGAGGGCAACGAGTGTCCCAGTTCCAAAAAATGCTTGGCTACCGGTAACTCAGACTTATTGTCCCTGTACGCAGTCCTAATGCTGGATCTATGGTTACGGATTCTTTCTCTCAAGGGTAAATCCGTTTTACCAATGTATGTTAATCCACAGGGACATGTTAATTTATAAATTACAAAATCACTTGTACACGTTAATCGATGACGGATGTGAAAAATGGTCCCTGTGTGAGGATGGGAAAATGTCTTCCCCGGGATCATATGTCCACAAGTTACACAACCAAGGCAGCGATAACATCCTAGATTCAGTAGAGATGTTTCCTTGGAATAGCAGTGAAAGGGATCCGTGTTCACCAGTAAATCCCTCAGATTTTTATTCCTCTTGTAGCAAAACATGGGAGGATTCTGGAATATTGGAGGTAATGTGACATCGTTTCTTAACACCCTCCAATTCTCCTCAATAATTTGTTTAAACTTAGATGAAGCTGTAGAAAAAGTAGTAGGAAATATCAATCTATTAGATGATGTTTTAGGGATAGATGTTTCGGTGATAATACGACACCTATCAAGTGCTTTAGTTAAGACATGAGTAGTATAGCCCCGTTGTCGAAATTTCTCCCACATCATGCCTAATTGGTCCTGTGCTCGGCTCAGGTTGGAGTTATTCCTTAAAACACGCAGAAACTGAGAATAGGGTAAGGAATTTTTCAAAGGCTGTGGGTGGAAACTATTAGCCTGCAAGATAGTGTTACGGTCCGTGGGCTTGGAATATAATGTATAGGCCAAATCTGACCCTTCACGTAACACTCTAATATCCAAGAAGTCAACTGTAGTTGAATCCATAACTGCTGTCAACTTAATATTCTCAGTGCAACCATTGATGTACCGAATCATATCTTCTGCTTCGGCTATAGTACCCTTAAATACCATAAAGATGTCATCGATGTATCTGACATAATGCAGGATATAGTCCTTGTAGGGTTCCAAGATGTATTTGGTTTCATAGCAATACATGTAGCCATTGGCATACATAGGTGCCATGGCTGCACCCATAGAGGTACCCGCAATTTGCCTAAACCATTCCATCTCGAACCTAAAATAGTTTTGAGAGAGTACTATTTCCAAAAGTTCTAATACGAACTCAATTGGAGGTCCTGTGTAGTATATAGAGCTGGATAATATGGATCTCATTGCTTCAATACCTTCTTGGTGAGGTATCACAGTATATAAGCTTGACACGTCACATGTCACCAGAACCACCGATTCAGAAGGTAATGTAATCCTTGATAATAGTTTAACAAAACTTGGGGTATCTTTTATACACGTCGATAAATGCTCAATTGGTTCCTTGAATAAAAAATCCAAACCATTTGGCTAAGGGTTCAAGGACGCCCCCTACTGCTGACACAATAGGTCGACCAGGAGGTCTGTCCTTATTTTTATGAATTTTAGGTAGCGTGTATATTACAGGTGTTCTAGGAGCCAAGGATCGTAAATAATGACATAGTTCCATAGATATATAATTGGAATGTAAGCCTCTTGTGAGACAAGTATCAATACAGTGCATCACCTCCTTTGTAGGGTCTTTAAACAATTTATCGTATGTGGTATAATCCGACAATTGTGACAAAATTTCCAAGCGGTAATCAGAATAGTTCTGGATCACTATCCCACCCCCCTTGTCAGCAGGTCTGATAACGATGTTTTTATCAAGTGCCAATGACTTGATAATAGCTCGATCTTTCTTTGTACAATTTGAATGGTATTGGTGCTTGTCTTTCAAATGATCGGTAGTTTCTTTTTGTACTGAGCGTAAAAAAGATTTAATCGAAGGCTGATTGGGCAGTGGGTCAAATGTGCTCCTTACCCGAAATTTCTGACTCTGCTCAGAATTTTCCACTGATTTTGATTTTAAAAAGTCCTTTAATCTCAGTGAACGGCCAAACTTGTATAATTCAACTTCCCAATCCTGAGCATTGGGTCTAGAGGTGGGAACAAAAGATAACCCTTTACTCAAAAGTGTGACTTCATCCGTTGTAAGTGATCGTGAAGATAAATTGAAAATAGGAGCCAGATCTACTGGCGAGGTGGCCTCCCTCTTACCCCAGAAAGTGCGCCCCTTTTGACCACGTCTCGTAACGTGTCTCCTCCTGGTGTTCCGTGTCTGCTCCGAAACCTGGTCCGAATGCCTAATTCGTCTGATGCTGCAGACTCCAAAAAAGGCTGTGTAGTACCTGCTTCAATCCCAGGTTGGCTATAGGAGCGTGGATGTTGGGGAAGATCAGAATCAGAGGTAGACTCACCCGAAGTCTTATCTATTGTGTATTGTCTTGGTTTTCGAATAGGTCTGCGTTTCTTGATAAAATATGGCACCTCATTCTTTCCACTAAGCCATCTATAAACACGATGTTCTTTGTGGAAGAATTTTTCACTTTGGCTGGGGGCTTGTCTGAGCAGGCAGAGACTTGGCAGTATAGTGAGGAAGATGCTGATCGGATTAGATGGTCAGCTTCTACATCTGAATTACCGAATACTACGTCTCTCAGGGACATTTATTTTGAACTATTAAGATTAAGGAAAAGGGAAATTGATTTAGACCTACATGGTTTATTTTTATCAGAGTACCATAGGAAATTACAAATCCCTAGGGGATTTCGTATCAAAAATATTCCTACAATTGGCAGACTTAAGCCACAGGTCTGTAAACGGTGGATTTCAGTTCTTAATAAATGTTCGTTGGATCTGATGCTGATTATCATTGAAGATGTGAAGGAGGACCTTATTCAGGTCAGGAGGAAAATTGCAGAATTAGAAACAACTCAAGCAATTTTGTTATCAGCACCTGAAGCTTCCACAACATTATTAAAATAAGATAATGTTAAGAACTACAAGACTGATTTGATTAGATTTAAAAGGCAAAAACAGGACAAAGTTGCTGCTGATTACAAAGAACATCGTGTTTATAGATGGCTTAGTGGAAAGAATGAGGTGCCATATTTTATCAAGAAACGCAGACCTATTCGAAAACCAAGACAATACACAATAGATAAGACTTCGGGTGAGTCTACCTCTGATTCTGATCTTCCCCAACATCCACGCTCCTATAGCCAACCTGGGATTGAAGCAGGTACTACACAGCCTTTTTTGGAGTCTGCAGCATCAGACGAATTAGGCATTCGGACCAGGTTTCGGAGCAGACACGGAACACCAGGAGGAGACACGTTACGAGACGTGGTCAAAAGGGGCGCACTTTCTGGGGTAAGAGGGAGGCCACCTCGCCAGTAGATCTGGCTCCTATTTTCAATTTATCTTCACGATCACTTACAACGGATGAAGTCACACTTTTGAGTAAAGGGTTATCTTTTGTTCCCACCTCTAGACCCAATGCTCAGGATTGGGAAGTTGAATTATACAAGTTTGGCCGTTCACTGAGATTAAAGGACTTTTTAAAATCAAAATCAGTGGAAAATTCTGAGCAGAGTCAGAAATTTCGGGTAAGGAGCACATTTGACCCACTGCCCAATCAGCCTTCGATTAAATCTTTTTTACGCTCAGTACAAAAAGAAACTACCGATCATTTGAAAGACAAGCACCAATACCATTCAAATTGTACAAAGAAAGATCGAGCTATTATCAAGTCATTGGCACTTGATAAAAACATCGTTATCAGACCTGCTGACAAGGGGGGTGGGATAGTGATCCAGAACTATTCTGATTACCGCTTGGAAATTTTGTCACAATTGTCGGATTATACCACATACGATAAATTGTTTAAAGACCCTACAAAGGAGGTGATGCACTGTATTGATACTTGTCTCACAAGAGGCTTACATTCCAATTATATATCTATGGAACTATGTCATTATTTACGATCCTTGGCTCCTAGAACACCTGTAATATACACGCTACCTAAAATTCATAAAAATAAGGACAGACCTCCTGGTCGACCTATTGTGTCAGCAGTAGGGGGCGTCCTTGAACCCTTAGCCAAATGGTTGGATTTTTTATTCAAGGAACCAATTGAGCATTTATCGACGTGTATAAAAGATACCCCAAGTTTTGTTAAACTATTATCAAGGATTACATTACCTTCTGAATCGGTGGTTCTGGTGACATGTGACGTGTCAAGCTTATATACTGTGATACCTCACCAAGAAGGTATTGAAGCAATGAGATCCATATTATCCAGCTCTATATACTACACAGGACCTCCAATTGAGTTCGTATTAGAACTTTTGGAAATAGTACTCTCTCAAAACTATTTTAGGTTCGAGATGGAATGGTTTAGGCAAATTGCGGGTACCTCTATGGGTGCAGCCATGGCACCTATGTATGCCAATGGCTACATGTATTGCTATGAAACCAAATACATCTTGGAACCCTACAAGGACTATATCCTGCATTATGTCAGATACATCGATGACATCTTTATGGTATTTAAGGGTACTATAGCCGAAGCAGAAGATATGATTCGGTACATCAATGGTTGCACTGAGAATATTAAGTTGACAGCAGTTATGGATTCAACTACAGTTGACTTCTTGGATATTAGAGTGTTACGTGAAGGGTCAGATTTGGCCTATACATTATATTCCAAGCCCACGGACCGTAACACTATCTTGCAGGCTAATAGTTTCCACCCACAGCCTTTGAAAAATTCCTTACCCTATTCTCAGTTTCTGCGTGTTTTAAGGAATAACTCCAACCTGAGCCGAGCACAGGACCAATTAGGCATGATGTGGGAGAAATTTCGACAACGGGGCTATACTACTCATGTCTTAACTAAAGCACTTGATAGGTGTCGTATTATCACCGAAACATCTATCCCTAAAACATCATCTAATAGATTGATATTTCCTACTACTTTTTCTACAGCTTCATCTAAGTTTAAACAAATTATTGAGGAGAATTGGAGGGTGTTAAGAAACGATGTCACATTACCTCCAATATTCCAGAATCCTCCCATGTTTTGCTACAAGAGGAATAAAAATCTGAGGGATTTACTGGTGAACACGGATCCCTTTCACTGCTATTCCAAGGAAACATCTCTACTGAATCTAGGATGTTATCGCTGCCTTGGTTGTGTAACTTGTGGACATATGATCCCGGGGAAGACATTTTCCCATCCTCACACAGGGACCATTTTTCACATCCGTCATCGATTAACGTGTACAAGTGATTTTGTAATTTATAAATTAACATGTCCCTGTGGATTAACATACATTGGTAAAACGGATTTACCCTTGAGAGAAAGAATCCGTAACCATAGATCCAGCATTAGGACTGCGTACAGGGACAATAAGTCTGAGTTACCGGTAGCCAAGCATTTTTTGGAACTGGGACACTCGTTGCCCTCTATGAAGTTGATGGCTATCGACCAAATTCCCTTGCCGAGAAGGGGAGGAGATCGTAAAAAGATGCTGCTTCAACGTGAATTATTTTGGATTAGAACGCTTCAAACCGTTCATCCCAATGGACTCAATGAAAAATATTCTTTATCTGCCTTTTTATAATTGTGTTTGATTTACTCTGGAATACGGTTTAAGTGGCCCGCCCGGGGGGTCAGCCTCTTTAACCAGTGTCCAGTTTATTTTTCATTTTTTGTTTTTTATTTTTTGTTTATTTTTGGTTTTTTGGCTGTACCAGTACCAGTTATGTTTGTATATAGACCTCATTTATTTTTAGTTTAGGACGGATAGGACAGCGTCACTAGGCATGGTATTCTATGTAGAGCTTCGTTGGCAGTGGCTTATCATCCATTATTACGACCTTTTGTAAATATTGATATTCTAGAGTAGGGGCCTGATACTGGCTGTTTAGGTAGTGTATTTAGGGATGGTTATAATGATCTTCCTATACATCATGTCCTCTGCATTTGGTAGGATATAGCCCTTTTTTTGATTTGGTGTTTACATCATATTTATACTATTATTGGTGAGTAGTTTCTGTATTTTTACAGTATAATTGATACTTTTCACATCTGCCATTAGATATGATTCTTCTTTTTTTTGATTTGCTGGTTATACACTCTTTAGAAGATTATTTAAGTGTTTCTTTGAACAGGTCTTTTTAATTATCCCTTTTTCCTTTTCTGTTTAAATTGTTAAGTAGTGGTTAACATGTATCCCCAGCTGTATTGTGTTTGTTTTTATGTGTTGCTAGGAAGCTATTCTCCCTAGCAACATACTCCCCATGATGCCGCCGGCTGGTTGATCACGTGATGACGTCATGACGCCGGCACCTCGTGATGACGTCACGAACGTGCGTCCGGATGCCGGCTGAACCCACGTGGACTCCAGACCGAGCTGACAGGGAGACTATCTATGTGGTGGTGGGTAAGTTAATTACTAATTTATATTTTACTATATATTGAATATCTGTATGTGTATGTATTTGATCCTGATGAAAGTCTGCGATTAAGCAGACTGAAACGTTGATTTTTTTTTCTGCATAAGCTAATTAAAAGTTAAGTTTTATATCTTTATAGACCTGAGAGTGCTATCATATTTTCCTTTTGTATTTTGCTGGATGAGCACCGGGCATTTAAATTGAATTTTTGATGGAGTGCAAGATCCTTTCTTCATATATATATATATATATATATATATATATATAATGGATTCCCTACAGGGGAACAGAACAAGCATGAATAATCCCAAAATGGATCCACTGACCTAGTACAGAGCCTCTTGAGGACCGGCTCTGATCTCTTCCACTTATGTGTACTTAAAAGGGGACACACACCTATAGCATCCATATCGGGTATAGACCTCAAACAGAAGAAAACAGGACTCTAGTGCAGAAATCCCAAATAAGGTGTGCAAAAGTTAAATAAAATTAAGCTTCTCACCTTATTCAGAGCCCTGAACGGCTCTGAGTGTAGTAGTAGATGTGACAATATAGGGTGTCACTTCCCTTCTTTATAGCAGCATGGACAATTCTTCGAACTTGTAAAGTATATAAAGTATTTATTGTGAATAAATAATAATATATATAAAATAAGACAAATAAAATAGTCTGATGCTGTCCGAGACGAGTTTCGCTGATCCTCAGCTTTCTCAATCGGTACTGTCCATGCCGCCGGTCTTCATTCTTATTTCCTGGATGGGAGGGGTTAGGTCGCGTCATCCGTGCTACTTCCACTCACGGACGACGTCGTACGCAAGCGTAGTACTGTGTACTCTAACCTTTAGTGATGTCATCACGCACTACGTAACGTGTATGACATCACTTCCAGTTTCCAGATATCTCCTAAACGGAGGTTCTTCCCACAGTCCATTCCGTTCAGTCCTTCCTTATGATGTCACTTCCACCATATGTGTCTGGTTCCTTTCGCCATTACAGTTCAGGGCAAAGTATGGGAAAAGAAACCTCCATTCTTGTTTAGGCTGTATTTCACATAGATTAACCCTATAAAGCCATGCTCAGAGGAGAGCATATACATAAATGTGAAAAACAAAAGTTACATTAATCCTTCCACATATGGAGGCACAAATGAAATAAAAACAGTTTCTAATAGAGCCATATGTCTTAATGACGATATGTATACAATAATGACTCTAGGGTTGAGGAGTAGAAAACATTTAAAATGTTATAATAGTCAACAATACAACCCAAATAAATAGATTAAGATCCAATCATAATGAAAATTTAAAAGCCAACGCTTATAAAAAAATGACATAACTCAAAATCGTCATTAAGTCCATATGGTTGCATAGTGTTCAAATTAAAATTCCATCGCATCTCTGTTTGTCCTATATGTTTCAACAGGTCTCCACCTCTCCAATTCACAATTTTTTTGAATTCCTATAAAATTCATTAGGTGGGGATCGCAATTGTGTTCTTTAAAATACAGCGAAACACTGTTTTTCAAACCCTTTTTTAATGTTTCTTATATGCTCTTGTATTAAGTGTCCTAATAGTTCTACCTATATACGCTAATCCGCAAGGGCAAGTAATCATATAAATGACTTGGTTTGAGTGGCATGTAATCATCTGTTTCATCTTAAATTGTTTTGTTTTATTTCCTGAATGGTTAAATTCTCCTATATGTCGTTTTATACTATTGGTGCCTTTACAGGCTCCACATGTGCCACAACCATAAAATCCATAAGATTGGTTAAGAAAGTGTTTTGTTTGCTGCTTGGGTGGTATATGGTTTTTTTGTTAAACTACTACTTACATTTCGTACACCCCTATAGGTAATTTTAGGTTCTTCCGGAAGGAAAGAATTGAGCATAGGATCACCCATTAGAATGGACCAATGTGTTTGTATAATTTTCTTCAAATGTTTGTTACAATTAAAATCACAAATAAAATTCAAATTCTGGAAGTCTTGGTCTATTTTCTTACCTTTATATTTAATTAATTCATTTCTATCTTTCTTCAACCTCTATATATGCTTTTTCTAAAATTTCCTTCTTGTATCCTTTTTCTCTAAAATCATTAATGATTCTGACTGATTGTTCTCTAAATTTCTCATTTTCAGTACAATTTCGCTTAAGTTGTGCCTTAGGGGCATTTAACAGCCAAGGGGAGAAATGGCAGCTATTTTCTCCTATATAGCTATTAACATCTACTTTTTTGAAAAAAAGTACAAGTTTTCAGTGTACCTCTTTCTATGTATATATTGAGATCCAGGAATTCAACCGAAGTCTTACTAAAGTTACGAATGAGGTGGATGCCCCAAGTTCAGGGCTCTGAATAAGGTGAGAAGCTTAATTTTATTTAACTTTTGCACACCTTATTTGGGATTTCTGCACTAGAGAGTCCTGTTTTCTTCTGCTTGAGGTCTATACCCAATATGGATGCTATAGGTGTGTGTAACCTTTAAGTACACATAAGTGGAAGAAATCAGAGCCGGTCCTCAAGAGGCTCTGTATTATGTGAGTGGATCCATTTTGGGATTATTCATACCACTTCATTTCCATATATACACTACACTATATTTTGCTTGTTCTGTTCCCCTGTAGGGAATCCATTATATATTGCTGTAAAACCTTAGGGGTAAGTGTTAATTCTATTTAGCGCTACACACTTTGCACTATTGCTTTATACCTGTTGGTTTTATAGTGCACTATTTCCTAACCTATTGTGAATAGGGTGGGGAGTCCCTATTATAGTGTGTTAACAGCTCCCATATTCACTTGTACAGTTAATACACATTTAAGCGCCTTATTTACACAGGTTCACATTTTGTTTACTATATTATATATATATATATATATATATATATAATATTATTATTATTTTTTTTTTTTTAATAGTTAGAACAAAATTACATATATATTATTTAGATTTTATATAAATACATATAATGCTAATTATAAATATTTAATCAATATTGTACATGTACTTTGATATTATATAATATTAAAATACACTTAGTGTGTCTATACACACACACACAGTGTATTTTATTATATATTAATATCAAAGTACACATACATCGATTAAATATGTATAATTAGCATTATATGTATTTATATAAATGTTAAAAATAAAATGTAAAAAATTTAATTTTGTTCTAACTTTATTTTAATATATATATATATATATATATATATATATATATATATATATATATATATATATATACACACACACACACACACACACACACACACACACACACACACACACACACACACACGATCCAGCGCACTCACCTATCCACTAAACAGTAACGTCAATGTTAAAAGATTTAGTTTAAAAAAAAAAAAAAAAAAAAATCTATGCAAAAATAATGGGGGTTTAGTTACATTATATGATCATACATTGCATAAGCCTGCCACAACGTCAATGTACCCCATCTTTAGCAGGTCTTACACTAACAGCCTAATGTCTGCTCTTATGAGATTAACCTACTTGGGGGAAAAAATTCCATCTGGGGCTCTCTGCAGTACAAGGCTAAATAGGGCCCTGGGATGAGGCACCTGTGACAGGGAGGGGCGCAAAACCAAGGAGTTGGCTAGACTCCCAAATATATACACTGCTCAAAACAATAAAGGGAACACAAAAATAACACATCCTAGATGTGAATGAATTAAATATTATTCTGAAATACTTTGTTCTTTACATAGTTGAATGTGCTGACAACAAAATCACACAAAAATTTAAAAATGGAAATCAAAATTTTCAACCCATGGAGGTCTGAATTTGGAGTCACACTCAAAATTAAAGTGGAAAAACACACTACAGGCTGATCCAACTTTGATGTAATGTCCTTAAAACAAGCCAAAATGAGGTTCAGAGGTGTGTGTGTGTGTGTGTGTGTGTGTGTGTGTGTCCCCTCCACGTGCCTGTATGACCTTCCTACAAAACCTGTGCATGCTCCTGATGAGGTGGCGGATGGTCTCCTGAGGGATCTCCTCCCAGACCTGGGCTAAAGAATCTGCCAACTCATGGACAGTCTGTGGTGTGACGTTGGTGGATGGAGCAAGACATGATGTCCCAGACGTGCTCAGTTGGATTCAGGTCTGGGGAACGGGCAGGCCAGTCCATAGCATCAATGCCTTCGTATTGCAGGAACTGCTGACACACTCCAGCCACATGAGATCTAGCATTGTCTTGTATTAGGAGGAACCCAGGGCCAACCGCACCAGCATATGGTCTCACAAGGGGTCTGAGGATCTCATCTCGGTACCTAATGGCAGTCATGCTACCTTGGGCGAGCACATGGAGGGCTGTGTGGGCCCCCCAAAGAAATGCCACCCCACACCATTACTGACCCACTATGAAACCGGTCATGCTGGAGGCTATTGCAAGCAGCAGAACGTTCTCCATGGCGTCTCCAGACTCTGTCACATGTGCTCAGTGTGAACCTGCACTCACCTGAACATGCATAAATGGGGATGCTGCTGGAGGCCAAATTATACAATACACAAGATCCAACGCACTCACCTATCCACTAAACAGCAACTTCAATGTTGAAAGATTGTATTTGTTTTTGAATAAAAAACACAATCTAGGCAAAAATAAGGAGGGTCAGTAACTAATTTTATTTGTTTTTGTTTAAAAAAAAATAAAATAAAAACCTAGACAAAAATATTGGGGGGTTTAAAAAAAAAAAAAAAAAAAAAAAATCTGTTTTGAGGCACATACATTCAACAACACACAAAGTCCCATACATAGGCATGCAACACACTCAGTAACAGTTAATTGAATTGGTGTTCAGGTGTGTTGTGTGACAGGGTAGGTAGGTAGCTACACTCAGCAGAGTACAGCTGGTGTAACCCCACCTACACTCAGCATCTCCTTTGCCAGCTACATACTGGGGAAGTTTCTAAGGTTGGGAGGTTTTCAAGGCTGCACTCAAAAGCAGCCACTCACTCTCCTGAGTCCTACCGTGTTCCAGGCTGTGACACTCTTCCCTGCAGTGCCCCCCTCATTCTAGTGCTTGGTCACAAATGCCTCCTCAAGTGACCCTGGTGGTCCAGTGGTATCCTGTATCTGTTCCCTGGCAGTCCGGGGTGAATAGCAGGAAGCGCACATCCTCTTGTTTCAAATCATTATACCCACTCCTTAATGGCTCGAGGCTTTCAATGTTGTCAGAGCGCCGGCTGAGAATCTCTGAGCCTGTTCTCTGACTCACTAACTGAGCGCCAGAACCACGAGGGAGAGAGTATGATCTGACTGTACCTACTTCTTGTGCGCACCACTGGACCGCCAGGGAATTGTTTAAATTGAATATGTTGGTGTTTTCAACTTGCAAGCGGTGTTGGCCACCAGTCGCCTCTGTTGTCATGGTGCCCTGCATAACCACACAGCTTGCACTCCCCAAAGGCTGGTCTTGCTGACCGACACACTGGCACTCACTTGCTGACGCACACACATAAACCCTGACAGACACAAACACTCACTGACAGACAACCACACACACTGACACACTCAACACTGACAGACACATTTACTGACACACACATGCAAGTACACTCGCTGACACACACAAACAGTGACAGACTGTCCTTTGGGGAGTGCAAGCTGTGTGGTTACGCAGGGGATGGTGGTATACTTAATGACAGATACACAAACTGACAGACACACTTACTGATATACACACTCACACACATTTTTTATGTCATATTCCGGCTCCCGGCATCACAGACAGTCCGCGAGGGAGCAGGACTATTATCAGCACGGGCAGTGATCCCTCGCTGCCACCTTCATCAGCCGGCCGGTAAATTGCCGCAGAGTAGGCACCTGCTGTCTGCTATGAGCAGGTGCCTACTCTGCCTTGCTACCTGCTGGGCTCCCTGTGACAGGCTGCCGATTTGTGCGGTGCCCCCACCTCTGGGCGCAGTGCACCCGTCCAGGATCAGCCCTGCACCTCCCCCTGTATTAAATACAGCATTAATACAGTGGGCAAACAAACAGAAGGATGTGACTGCACCAATAAACACAAATAAAAAAAAAAGTCCTAATTGGAGTATTGAAATAAAGTCCAATGTAATAAAACTTGGTCTTATGTTGGTCTCTGAAGTTGTGGAATTTTGCTCCTTCCTGATATGTGGAGGAGGGCGATGGGTGATGAGATGGTAGAGAATGATCCAAAAGGTATCCAATTAAAAAAGAAGAGAATGCTCACTTTTAGTAGAGCTTAATCCAGCTCTGGTATGAATAGCTTGCAGCAGTATTATCCCCGCTTGTAGGATATACAGTGAGCTTCCTCTTCCGTGTAGTGACAGGCAACCAGGGGGAAGATAAAACGAAAAGCAGTGATAGTGCAGTATGTCCCAAAAGTAGATAAAAAATATTAAAATATAATAGATACACTCACATTTAATAGAGCTTATACTAGCTCTAGTATAGTAGGCATGCAACGGTATGATCCCCGTCTCTGGGATATGTGGTGAGCGTTCTTTGAAATAGTTCTTTAAGATGGTAACAGGAGCTCAGGGAGAAGATAATAAAACAGCAATAGTGCTCTCAGTAAAATAATGCTGGATTATAAAATATAATAAAATATACTCACAATGTATAGGGCAGGCTAACTGCTCTATGGTATAGGCACGGGTGGTATGATCCCCACCTCGGGATTCGTTGGAGTATAGGAGACAATAGATAAAAAGCCAGGTAGTTAAAAAAAATAAATAAATGATAATGGTGCAAGAGAATAAAATGACCAAAATCTATGTATTAACAGTAATTAAAAAATAAAAAAATAGTACAATATCCAAACGCGTTTCACCAATATAGGCTTTATCAATGGATTAAAAACATGTCAACCTGGCTTATTAGGGTTTATATAGGCTTTGAATAACTTTGAAAATTGCGCCAAAACCTCTCTGACCAATCACAGAGCAGATTGTAATTACTCACATAAAACAGTAAAAAAAAACCATTTTAGATACATAGATATAACTAATAGGATTTAAAATACTGTATTTATCGGTGTATAACACGCACCTCATTTTAAGAAGGAAATTTCAGGAAAAAAAAAACAAAAAAACTTAAAGGACCACTATAGTGCCAGGAAAACGAGTATGTTTTCCTGGCACTATAGTGGTCCTTTAAGTTTTTTTCCCCTGAAATTTCCTTCTTAAAATGAGGTGCGTGTTATACACCCTCAGGGACCCCCTCCCGCCGGGCTCTGGAGAGAGGAAGGGGTTAAACACTTACCTTTCTCCAGCGCCGGGCGGGGAGCTGTACTCCTCCTCTCCTCCTTGCTTGCGACGTCATCGGCTGAATGCACATGCGCATTCAGCCGGTCGCATAGGAAAGCATTTACAATGCTTTCCTATGGACGCTTGCGTGCTCTCACTGTAATTTTCACAGTGAGAAGCACGCTAGCGGCTGTCAATGAGACAGCCACTAGAGGCTGGATTAACCCTCAGTATAAACATAGCAGTTTCTCTGAAACTGCTAGGTTTATAAAAAAAAATAAAAATAAAAAAAACACGGGTTAATCCTAGAGGGACCTGGCACCCAGACCACTTCATTAAGCTGAAGTGGTCTGGGTGCCTAGAGTGGTTCTTTAAATTTCAAATAAAGAACTTCTTACCCCCCTTTCTTACTTCCCCCTCTTCTTACTTCCCCCTCTTACCCACCCCCCCCCTTCTTACTCCCCAGTAGCGTGGCCGAACCGCTCTGCTGTCCGCGGTGGCCGGCCGGCGTGATAGGAAGGTGCACGCTCAGTGTGCACCTTCCTGTCAGTCCGACCGGGTACAGGAAACAGAAACTCCTGTTCCACGTGGAACAGGAGTTTCTGTTTCCTGTACCCGGTCGGACTGACAGGAAGGTGCACACTGAGCGTGCACCTTCCTATCACGCCGGCCAGCCACCGCGGACAGCAGAGCGGCTCGGCCACGCTACAGGGGAGGTGAGTACCAACTCAGGCGGCTGCAGTATTTAAAGGGCCGGCGTATAACACGCACCCACAATTTCTCCCCTATTTTCAGGGAGAAAAAGTGCGTATTATACGCCGATAAATACGGTATATAATTATGGTATAAAAACGAGGTGTATGTAAAGGAATATTATTGCTATTTCCTGAATCATGTGACGCGCATCATAAGCGCGACGTCACTTCCGGTCGCTCAGTATGCTGAGGCATTTAGTTGTATCTTAAACTACATGCCCAAGCTTTCTACTGAGGGAGTTTCAGGGCCATATGATGGGCTCAAAAGAGGGGGATAGCTGTGGACCGGAGGGGAGAGGGAGGGAGAGAAAGGGAAATAGCCGAAAAACGGCTCGGTAAAGGGAAAATGAGGGTGTGGCGGCCATCTTGGTTGGGGAATGGTCTCCATTAGGCTATGTGAAAAACATAGCGGCGGCCATATTGGAGGTGGCAAAAACCATATATACTGTAAATGAACATAAAAAAGAAGGGGGAAACAGTAATAAGAACATATTAATAATTCAAAAAGGACATGTAACTTAAAACTTATAAAGGAGTTTTTTGATTTAAATTGTGTAGTTTTTGATTTAGTGGATGCACCAACCAATCCACTAAATCAAAAACTACACAATTTAAATCAAATAAAACCAACAAAATATATAATATTAAAG